AGCAACAGGACCAGAGCTGGTGACGATGGTCTGGGATTTTGCCTCTCTGTAATGTTTTAACAAAAATGTCTCCTAATGACAAGGTATTTGTGTATGACTTGTAGACTTAAGATTTCATTAAAACCTTTATAAGAGACCAGGACACTTTGTATAAAGAGTCTGGGGCTGGGGCATCTGGGTGGCTCAGTCGATTGAGTGTCCTACTCGATTTAGGCTCAGGTCATGATCCCAGGGTTGTGGGATCGAGCCCCACTTAGGATCCTCTTTCCCTCTGCCCCTCTCCCCTGTTATCTCTCTCCCTCCCCCCTCCAATAAAATTTCAAAAAAAAGAAAAGAGAAAAAAGAGTCCAGTGCTGATCTCTATAGACATGTTGTTGATGATGTCGGCACATCTCGTTGCGAAAAGCAGAGCTCTGCTCTGCCCTCCTGCCCAGTTGGGAAAGGCAAGGACTACTCACCCTGGAATTAGCCAAAACACAGGCTTTTTTGGGCACTTTCTTCAGACAGAAAAATTCAAATCAAAGTCAGCAGAAAAGAACATCACCTTTGTTCCTATATTTGGAAGGAAAAGAAACATCCACACCCAGTAATGAGGACAACCAACCTGAGTGTCAGGGAGGCACTGGGGACCAGTGACCCCAGGCTGTCCCCAGCCTGCTCACCGAGGGCCAGCCTGGGGCTGCAGGGATGAGCCATTCCTCCCAGCTGAACAGGCCTGCAGCCTGCGGCACGTGGAGCCCCACAATGTGGGTTGTTTATATGAGACTTTCCGGAGAAAAGGTCTATAGCTTTTGTCAGCTCTTTAAGGGATCTGGAACCCCAAAAGGGTGAGAATCACTGCCTCGGGGTGACATGGTGTCACAGGCAGGCGGTCACTCAACATTGAGGTTTTCCTACAGGCTACACAACGAATCATGAAAACCTTAATGTCCATTCCAGAACTCAAAGGCACTTTTACTTTTAATCTGGTTGGAGAAACAGTTGTCCAGACTGAGGACTCCTCACTCAGATCCACAGCTCCGCCTTCAGACGCGGCATGCAAGGGAGATGAATCTTCACTCAGCCAGTTCTGAGTCACCGTAGCTAAGCCTCAGGCAGGCTTGGTGGCTGGTCTGGGGTCTCACTCCCAGCAAGTGGCAGAGCTGGGGCACACCCCGCAGCATCCCCGAGAACTGTAGAAAGACTGTGCTCTGGCTTTCCAGACACCCCTTCCATACCAGTGGGTTCGGCAGCCCTGGGACTTTAAAGTGTGAATTGGCAGATGGACCATCCGTAGCCCTGCCCTCCTCACTAAAAATGCACCTGCCTCATTTTTCCTAATTGTGATTCCTGGTCCCATTAGTTAAAGCGTGCAAAAAAGATTGCAGAATCGACCACAAGCACTACTCCCTGGTTTTATGAAAATTCACCTTGAGTCTTTGTTACCCGGCTCATGACCAAGGCAGAGTTCTCTGTGTTTGTGACTTGGTTTCAAAGGCACTAGAACCCCAGACCCACACTGGTGGAAATACAGACCTCACATACAAGCACCAAATCACATCTGCCCGCTTGTTCCTGAGAGAGGACATCTTTCCTTCAGAACCATGTGCCTGAGATTTGCAAAGTCTTCACTCTGTTCAAATGTGTCTCCTCCCCACAATCCCTCTGTCCCTCTGCTCTGCCCTCCATCCAACTAAATGACCCACTTCATGTACAGTGGGCCATGTATTTCATGCGCCCATGTCTTTAGATGCACTATTTATGCCCCTTGGATGGCTCTTCACTTTTTTCTAGATAACTCCTCCATACTGTCAAGACTCAGCTCCCCTCTCTGAAATCTTCCCTGCTTTCTAAGAGGGAAAAAAATGTGTGCTTTCTTTACAACCCCCCCAGCCCATGGCACCCTGTGCCATAATTGCCTGTGGACACGTCTGTGCCCTCAGAGTGAGCTCCTAAAGGGAGGGTAGTCTCTTACTCATCTCAAAAGCCTAGTTCCAATGGCAGAAACTGGAATACACAATGTAAATCTACTTGGTTGTAATAAAAAATGAGCAAACTACTAATTTATGCAACGATGTGGATGAATTTCACCAACACAATCGGGAGCAGATGAAGCCAAGTATAAAACAGAAGTTGAGGGGCGCCTGGGTGGCTTAGTCGGTTAAGCGTCGACTTTCACTTGGGTCATGATCTCGCGGTTCGTGGGTTCGAGCCTGAAGCCTGTTTCAGAGTCTGTGACTCCCTCTCTCTCTGACCCTCCCCTGCTCACGCTGTCTCTCTCTCTCTCCTAGAAATAAATAAAACATTAAAAAAAATTTTTAAAAATAAATAAATAAAAGAGAAGTTGATGGGCACAGAGGAGGACTCTTGTGGGGATGAGCACAGGGTGTTATATGGAAACCAAACTGACAATAAACTATTTTTTAAAAAATTAAAAAATAGAAGAGAAGATCCTGTAGGATTCAGTTTATCTCAAATTCAAAAGCATGCAAAACTAAGCTGGGGTGATAGAAGACAAAATAATATTATTGCTGGGGTGGGGGCTGGGGGGCTACTGCCAAGAAGGAGCAAGGGGGAGCCTACTGGGTGTTGCCAATATTCTTTATCTTGATCTGAGCATCCTGTAAACACACAAATTCTATGAGTTGTACAATAAAGAATGGTGCACTTTACCATTTGCATATTATTATGCAATATAATTGTTTTTAACTTTAGAAAAAGGCCACCAGTGCCTCCCATTAATGAAACCAATTAGAAGCCAAAGGGCAAGGCACTGCTAGTGCAATCCCAAGGGTCAGCATCCTGGAGCCCGGGGCTGGGCAAAGAAAAGTAGAGAATGGGTTGGGGGTGGGGGAGGGGAATAACTAATGTGATGCTCAGTAAATGTTTGCTGAGTGGGACAGCAATCATTTACACCTTAGCATAAATAAATATATGGTGTGTGTGTGTGTGTGTGTGTGTGTGTGTGTGTGTGTGTGTGTTTCTAACAGTGAGCGTTACTGGGAAGCAATATGGAAATAAGAGAACACTGGACACTTTGGTTATGAGAAATAGTGGAGCAAACTGAAAAAAATTCTTTGCCTTCCTGACAGTTCTGCAGAAGCCCCGGTTATGTGGTCAGTAGTCTGAGTTAGCTCTTTCCCAGGGCTCAATTTCCTTATCAATGCCATACGAGGACCTAACACTTGTTACGGATTGACAGCTGACAATGTATTTCAAAAGTTTATCCCAATTAACCCTCATTGCAACCCACTGAGAGTTGGTAAGGAATACAGATGGTCAGAGTTATTAGAAATAAGGAAAGTGAAGCTCATAACAAGAAAAGAAATACAGAGAAAACTTGCCCACAATCCCAGAATCTGAAAGTTGCAAGGCCAGGGTTCTGACCAGGTGTTCATTGCTTTATCCACTTTGCTATAAAAAAACAAAAACAAAAACAAAAATATCCCAGGAATCGGGTTAGATGCTTGCCCAAGTTTCTCTGACCTTTAAGCAACTATGTTCCCCATAAAGTAGCCCCGATAAATGAGAAGCAGCTTCCGTACCAGGTAGTGACCCTCGTGGCTGGGAGCTGAAGTCCAGCTGTCCGGCACCTGCATCGCGGGGGCCCCGGCACCCACACTGATGGCGCACTCTGGCCGGTGCCCTGCGCCTGGCCAGCCTTTCCCTTACAGGACTTGATCCTCCCCCAGCGTGAGAAGAGAGAGGCAACTCTGTATCCCAGAAAGCTACCGCCTTTTAAAGGGCTGGAATTGAGGGACCGTTTCGTTCTTAACCTGCTCAAGAGATTTCTGCTTTGATTTTGTAGGTAGGGCTCCGTGGAATCCCTGACATGCCCCTGCCCCTTCTGAGGTCCCAAGCAAGCCGCCTTGCATCTTCCGGAATGGTTATCAGTGCAAGCCAGACGCCAACAAAATCTCGCTCAGCCCTGGCTTGGTTTTTCTGTTGCCTCCCTTACTCTGAAAAAGTCTCTTACCTATAGCTAAAGGATTGTTCACAGAGTCCAACGGTCCCTTTACTTCTCCATTCTAAATACCCTTCTTCCTGCCCCCAGACGCTCAGGATAGAACCGCGAAGCATCTAACAGGAAGGGGGGCCACCCCCCGCCCCCACTTCTCGAGAATCTAAAAGGGCGCGTGTCCAGGTGTCTGCGGCACCTCCTCGCCTTGCCAGCGGGCTTGCTGAGCTCAGAACGGGACGTCTATCGGGGGCTGCAGACCCGGCGCCCCCCAGTGTGGCCCTCGAGGTAACTCGTCCCGCACCCCATTCCACCGCCCCCCCCCGCCCCCCTGCCCGTGGGCCCCGTGGGTTTGAACACAACACATCTGCCCTTTCCCAGCCAAAGCCACGCTGCAGGCTGGCGGATGTCGCCCACTGCCTCACCTCTCAGAACGCGCAAGGCCAAAAGGCTAACGAGGGCCATCAGGGGACCGCCGTCTGCAGCGGTCCGCGAGCACCGCTTCCCCTCCGGGGGCCCCGAACTGGCCCTGACCCGGCCTCTCCCAGGCGGCGAAGCCGTGACCTTCCGCAGCCGCGAGCCCTCAGCCAAGGTCCTCGCCCTGCGCGGGGCGGGACGGCCCGGCCGGGGCGGGGCTGGCGGCCGCGCTTTAAGAGGAGGGCGCGGGCGGCGGCGGCCGAGCCTGTGAGGGGGACCCTAGCGATGGAGGCCGCCCGGGACTACGCCGGAGCGCTCATCAGGCGAGTGCCGCGCCGGCCCGGCTCGGGGCCACGCCCCGGCCCCGCTCCCTCCCGCGCCCCGCATCGCGGAGCGCCCCGCGCCCCCGCGCCACACACTCCCCCGCGGCGCGCGCGCTCCGCACCCCCCTGCGCCCCCCGCCCCCCAGCGCCCTGAGCGGTCTGCGTCCCCCGGTGCCTGGCTTCTCCGTGAGTCCCTCATTTCCCTGCGTCTCGCGTCCGCCGCGCGCCCGGGATCCCCCAGCACCTCTTGCGCCCCGCAACCGGTCCCAGCCCACACGCGCTGCAGCAGCTCCGGTGCCCACGCCTTCAGGCTACGCGGGCCGGCAGAGCCGGAGCCGGCCGCGCGTCTCCTTCCCTCGTCCAGCGGCCGCAGGTGCCGGGTGCGGCGCTCCCGAGGCGCGCGGCATCCGCCGCACAGGTGACAGCGGTGAGTGCGGGAGCGGCTGACGTTCTTGCTGCTGCTGCAGCCGCCGGTGCCCCTGAGGACCCCTTCCTGGGACACCCGGGCGACGCCTCCACGGTGCTCCGGCACCGGGCTTCAGGGGGACCTCCGGGTCGCGACGGGAGCTGGGGCGCTGCTGGTGGGGACGCTCGGAGGCTTTGGGATGGTCCGGGTTTACCCCTAAAGGCGAGCGCGGGCTCTGGCTCCAAGGGGAGGGAGTGACCCTCGGGCTCTGAACGCCTCCCGACCCCTGCTTGATGAGCACACCCGGGCTTGTAAGGGGGTGCCTAGGGGGAAGCGCGCCCCCTCCTCGCCGCATCTGAGAGCGCTGACGCTGCCCGGGGACCAGGGACCCTCTGAGGCTTCTTAGTCTTCGCTCCCCTCCCGGGCATCGCCACCCGCTGCGGGCGGGGGCGGGGGTTGAAGACCCCGAAACACTTCCCCCCACCCCCACCCAGCTGCCATTCATCTTTATATCTCGACATACCCAAACCCGTCCAGGTTGATAAAATCCTACAAATATTGCATGGAAGTAATTTTTAAGTAGATTTATGGAAGGGAAAGTGCTTCTCTGAAGACCTTCAAAGTACTTCAGAAAGGATCGAGAAACCCTTTTGAGTTCCTTAAAATGCGGGTTTTCAGAGGCGACGGATCCCATTTGTGCCAAATGGCAGGGTAGGTTGAAGGGGCAAGGTGGGGAGGGAGAATCACCTTACAAAACTAGTGTGATCTATAGGGGGCTGAACTTGCTGTGTGCTATACTCAGGGTTAGAAAAAGAGCTTCCAAAAATGTAAAGGTGGTCTGTCCGAACAGCACTGGCTTTCTCTTTTAAAAACTAACAAAAACGAACAAACAAAAAAACCGAAGTCAGATAGTAAGGAACCAGGGAAGGTGGGAAACAGACTTGTTTCCTGCATCTTGACTAACTCATGTAAGCATAAAGGTAAGCCTTGGGTTTCTTTGCTGTTCTTCTCTTCATCCGCCCCCCTCCCCCCCATCCCAGTCTCCGGGGATAACAATTGTTAACAGTTTAGAATCCATCCTCCACACTTCTCCCCCTCAAATATGCAAATGTACCCATTCTGCCACTTCTGTGAACCCTGAAGAGGTGGCAGGCTGATTTAAGGACTGGTAAGAAGGCAGGAATTCCCAGCTGGTATTGCCTGGAGGGGGGGGGAGGAGGCGGCAGAACCTTCGGAATTGAGGCTGACCTTGCCCTTCCACCTGATCCCTGTAATAGGATACCGCAATCCAAAATGCATCTGTATGAGGTTTCCACTGGGTCACTGTGTATGAAAGGGACTTGCTTGTGAAATATTGGCAAATCAAAGCATAAGGAAGTGTTTCCTCAAAGACACACTCCTTCTGAGCTTGGCAAACTCTAAAAGTGAGTGACTATTTGTCAGGGACACACAGTGCAGTTCTTTGAAAAGTCTACCTGCTTCCAAACTAAACTGGAAGAAAATTGACCCATATTGTTGAAAGGAGAACACTGTCCTTCCCTGCCCTTCTTTAAAACCATGTAAAGGCTGAAGACCCATGTGAGCCACAGACAGGGTGAAGGCCATCTTTGTTAGTTACAGACTTGCTGCACTTTTGTCTCCTCCGTGTTCCTTAATATAAACTAGCTGGCCTTAACTCTGTCTTTTATTAGTAGATGATTGCATTTTGCTAAAGAAATAACTTAATCCACATATACATCTTTTTTTAAAGTCAGCAATTCTAAAGTCTTAGGCTAGTCATTAGTTTGTTAATCGTCTGTGATCCTTCGAGGCCTTCGTCATGGTGAAAGTCATCTGAGGTCTCTCAGCAGAGCTCCGGACATCAAGGATGCCCACACCAGTGTGTTATCGCCATAGGCAGCGCTGCTCAGCCTTTGTGTGTATTCCGGATAACATTCATGCCGACCTTGAAGTTGTTACAGAGCTGATATATATTATGCCCTGTGCAAAATCACTGCTTTTGTTGCTATTTTGTTGTACATCTTTCCTTTCCTTGAACAAGGAACCCTAGGTTCTCTATAACTGGCATTTCAGTACACAGTTTACCACTGTCTTTGTGACAGAAGCAAGGAACTGCATTTTCTACAAGTAAATCTCCCAGGTTACGGATGCTGACTCCTTCCTGGGTCTAAACTGTTATTTTAATAACATTTCCAAGTGTTCAAAGACTTCACGGTCCTATACCGAACATACTCTTACTACATCAAGCATTTCGATAGGTTGGTCAAGGCACAGGTGTGAGCCAGCCGCAGTCGCTGGGGAGCAGACGTCCCGATGTGTGTAGCCTGTAACGTGGCTCCCACGCTGCTGGCGAGCAGGAAGCATCACTGAGGCCATCGTTCCTCCAGCTCCTGCCTTTGGGCTAGACCCTGATACTGTCCCGACCGCTCCCTGAGACCCAGCCAGTCCAGAGAACGCTTTTCAATCCTATTTCTCTGCATTGCTGTATTTGACGCCACCACTTCCTTTCTTAACGTGCTCTTTGTCACTAGGCCTTGATGGTAGTGCGTGGTTGGCTTGTCATACCTGCGTGTTCACTTACTCTTACTTTCCACCTAACAAGGAAATGGGGGGGGGGGGCCCTTCTCTCCAAATATTCCTCGGGGCAGTACCTTACGGGCCTTACAGACCCGCCTCATCGCTGCTGAGCCCCACATGTTTCTCTCTGGGGGAGGCTTTGTTCCCAGGCCTGCGCTTTTCCTCTTATTCCATTTCTGGGATAAATATCAGTCCATCCGGTGGCATAAAAACATTCCTGTGTATAACTCGTGGAGGCTAAATTTGTTTTACCGGAGTGAAGTTCACCTCTGCTGTCCGTCTGTGGCCTGTTGCTTTATTTGCTACACTTTGATAAGTTGTGACTTCCCAGTTCACTTGGAGAAAAATACAAAGGCTTCTCTGTTTCCCTCACTTCTGGGAGCTATGCCTCTTCACAGTTTTGAAGAATGTTCTATGAAGCAGACTTCTCTTTTTGTCTTGATTTCCGCGAAACAATCTATTTCCTCGAACAGCCTGTTTCCTGGTTTTTCTTTTCCTTCTAGTGAGCTATTTCCTTCATATGGTTGTCTGCACTTGCCCAGGGATGGGAGGGTGTCTAATGTGTGCCGTATCTAATCCAAGCCTTCTCCGAGCTCCGGTCTCAAGTTTGATACATTAAAATATTGAGGGGAGAAGAGCAAGACATTTTAGGCCTTGCACTAATAGCCAGTGACATAAATTACCCTATCAAGAGGACCAGGAGTGAGTTGGATCAATATGTTGCTTTGTTCATTTAGCTAGCTCGTTAGCCTTACTGCTCCTTTTAGCTGGAGCAAAGTAAACACTCATGGGGCACCTGAGTGGCTCAGTCATTAAGCGTCTGACTTCGGCTCAGGTCATGATCTCACAGTTTGTGAGTTCGAGTCCTGTGTCAGGCTCTGTACGGACCACTCAGAGCCTGGAGCCTGCTTCAGATTCTGTGTCTCCCTCTCTCTTTGGCCCTTACCCGCTCACACTCTTTCTCAAAAATAAACATTAAAAAAACTAAACACTCCTATAATAGTTATTAAATAGGGTTAGTGTACATAAAATTTCATCTAACTCCTTTTTATATTATCTACAAGATGTCTGGGTTTTATATAATTTGACACATCAAATCACGCATCCTCTTCCTTAAAAAGAATGGCAGCGTTTAATTTTCATGCCTTCAAGGATGTTTTTAGGTGTGCTCCGTAAGCCTTTTCTCCCACAAGTGACCCAGTTCCTGGTTAGAAAATGTAATGGGTAAGAAGAACGATAGACTGCATATCCTTTTTTATTGAGGTTGGCTGTCCTGAGGGCGACGTGGAGAGCGAGGCCCAGAAATGACAGCCAACACTTATCTAGTCAGAAGTTAAAAGACAATAGGACTTTGTATAATCAACTGTACTGTGTAACTGGAGCCCTGGTGCTTACTGAGGCGTGATAGTTCACATTCAATGAGGAGCTACGGGACCACAACTAACTAGGTCAAAGCTACTCATGCCCTCAAGGTGTGCCATTGGCCTCTAGCACCTGGGCCTAAGACTCCAGGACATGAACTTTGTTCTCCCATTTCTCTGATTTTTGTCCTAGCCTGCCTTTTACTCAGTGAATAGATCCCATGCCAACAGCAGGCTAGGTGCTGTGGGGAAGTAAAAAAAAAAAAAAAAGGCATAGAAGGCATAGAAGAACCCTGGCCTCAGTGAGTACAGATTCTAGAAGGGCTCGTGGATCCTGGCAAGGAGTTGCTGCCTTGCAGGGGGAAGAGAGGCTCTTGCTGGTGAGGGTCCAGGGTTCCCCTGCAATGTAGGAGGCTTTTCACCTTGTAGGGCAGGCACCGTGGTGCAAAAGTGGGAGCTGGATTCAAACCCCTGTTCTAGCACTTGCTAACTCTGACCTTACTCATTTTTTTAACTTCCTGAGCCTTACTTTTATTCATCTGATGTGCCTGTCTTGTCAAGGTATTAGGTAATGCACTAATGCACACGAGTCTGGCATAGAATAGAACTATTCTCTCTCTCCTCCTCCTCCTCATACGGATCTCACCATTGAGTTTAAGTTTCGGGTGCTATGATTAGGTTGCCAGCATAGCCAGATTCTAAGGGTAAAGCATCATTTGTAAAATCCTCACTGTCCCATCTAGCAAATCACCAGACATGGGACCGTAAGTGGGTCTGCGGCACCAGCTCAGCAGAATGTGGGCATCTGGTCCGTCAGGTTGTGTAACCAAGGAACCTGGTGTAACTCCTCGGAATCAAGGCAAAAGTTCAGAGGCTGTCTGCCAGCCTTCCTGCGGTGTCAGTTCAAGGCTTGGATTCATTTGGTGGGTCTCTGATCCATCTAATGGGGAGCCCACCTCAGAGGCCAGTGACCTGCCACAATCCCCTTGCAGTTGCCTCACTGGGAACAGAGTGACTCTGGAAGCCTAGAAGGGAAAGGAGCTATCGGTGTTCACAGAGACCACTGTGGCCCTTTCATCCAGAGCAGCCCTGGACTGACGATTAGTTATGTGTATTGCTTGAGGTTTGAAGTTCAGAGATATTATGCCCCATTTCTTTTCCTCGTTAACTTAGTGACCTTGAGAAACCACTCTGAGCCCCAGTTTCCTATCTGAGAAATGGGGTGATACTTTCCTTGTAAAGTTGTGATGATAATTAGTTAATATGTTTAAAATTTTAGCATAAGATGGCCATAGCAAGCATTCAGATGTGAGCAGTTAGGAAGAATTAATGTGATGCTAGCTGAATACACTTCAGACCAAACCTGTGCTAACAATCTAGGTCTGATTCCTAGAATACCATTTTTTTTCCCAAGGCCTAGATTTAACCTATGGAGACCTTCCTGAAACTGGCTGATCATGCTATGAGCATTATGGTTTTTGAGAGCCGGTTCATTACTACACTATGAGTTTTTCCTATAGAAAATTACTTGGTAGATCATTGAATTTTCACTTATGTCTATTTGTAGAACTTCAAGTTAGACCATGTACTATTGAAAACCTATATGGCTAGCACGAGGCATTATGGGAGACACAACAAAGAAGCTTTTTCCCTTAAGGAAATTCCAACCTATTTGGGAAAATAAAGCATAAATAAATGAATGACAATATGTACGTGTGTAGGTGTGTAAATGTATGTGTGTAAGTATGTGTGCTTATATATGTATAAAATAAAGTGCTAAATCCTAGGTGATAGGAATTCACAAAAAGACAAAAGTCCCCACAATTTTAGCCTTCATGGGGTTAATCTAGACAATCTGTTTTATGTGTCAGAAATCAGTGATGTCCTCACTTTGTATCTTCTATAAGGTTGACCTAAAAATAAAGACCTTTGTTTCATTCCCCAGAATGTCATTGCACAAGAGTTTGTCCAAACTGTCAACAACTACTTGAGTGCCTGTGGTAGGTGTGGGGCCAGTGTGGCTGTAAGTGCTAGTCCCTCAGAAGCTGTGGAGGTTATGTGACTTTATTGTCAGTTCTCACAGCACCTGACATGAAGCAAGAGCCACCTGAAGTATTGACAACTTATGATATTCTTTAAAATAATTTCTTTGTGGGTATATTCCCAAACTTAAAGAAGCCCACCGTCTTGGGTGAAAACTAAGCATTTCTAGACTGGTCTCCAAAGAGACTGAACGATCTCCTAGTGCCACCAGCAAGGTGCATCTGTTGCCCCTCAGGGAGTTATTTTTAAGTCACTTCTTGCATGTGTGTTTAAAAGCATGCAGTAAAAGATAAATCGAGATAGCAAGCTAATAAAACTCATTCCTATGGGGAAGAAAAGGGCATGCAGTAGTGTGTCAAAGGTGCTTTTGCATTTCTTTAATTGCTATCAGAAGCCTCATATGCTCCTGAATATGGAAACTTTTCTTATTCTTTAGCGTGTGGCATGTAACTAAGCTTTATGAGGCAAAGAACGGGTGCTTGGGTCATAATACCAGCTCTGGCTCCTACCAGTCATGAGGCTGCTCTCTGGCACAGCCTCCCTCATCTGTCAATTGAGAGTTTTCTGAGGATTAAGTGAATTAATATCTATAAATCAAAATTTGTGTTTGTGGGGATGCCTGGCTGGCCTAGTTGGTAGAGCATGCGATTCTTGATCTCGGGGTTTTGGGTTCGAGTCTCACACTCAGTGTAGAGATTACTTAAAAATCAAATCTTAAAAAAGGTGTTTGTTAAATAACCACTAAAGCAGTAAGCTTCTTGTTTATCCCCCATTTTATATATATACATAAATGTATAATAAATATATATTTACATACATGAATACATGTAACACATGTACGTGTGTATATGTGTGTATATATATATATATATATATGCATGTATATATAATAGTATTTTCCAGGTAACTAAAATTTTATAACCAGAGGTCAGAGACTTTTTTCCTCAGAAGATTGTCTTCATTTGGTTTTGTTATTAGTTATTTTCCTTCTCTGTTAGTTTTTTAAATTTTTTAAATAATTTTCAAAATGTTTGTTTATTTTTGAGAAAGACAGAGTGCAGATGGGGGAAGGGCAGAGAGAGAGGGAGACACAGAATCTGAAGCAGGCTCCAGGCTCTGAGCTGTCGGCACAGACCCCAATATGGGGCTTGAACTCACGAATTGTGAGATCATGACCTGAGCTGAAGTCAGTTGCTCAACTGACTGAGCCACTCAGGTGCCCCTGTGTTCGTCTTTTTAATAGTGAGATTTTGAATGAATTCTTTGTTCAATGTGGAATTTACTCCAAAGTTCATATGACATATGACCCAAAGTTCTTTTCCTTCTTGTTATTCCAACTATTATTATAGTGTTCTGTTGTTCCCCATCTATCTTAAGTCAGTTTCTAAAAGTTAGTTTATTGCTCTAGTGACCAATATCTGGCTTTTCAATTCCTGGCTCAGTCTTACCGTACAATATGTAACTTGTATGTGTGTACCCTAATTCTTTAACTCTACTTGGCTAACTCATGACCTCTTAAGATTTTTAAGCTATAAAACTCATGTTTGCAGAATAGAATTCTTATTTCCTTTTTGAGTTTGATGCGCTTACCATTTCTTTCTCACATAGTTACTACAAGGACTTTGAATGTTCTAGTAAAATAGGTGTAATGATGGCTGTGGCTTTTAATTGTGTGTGTTATTTGTTTCTTGGATATCAGGATTTTCAATAATCCCCAACTACTGGTTTTCTTTCTTTCAGATGTAAATATGAAAATTGTTTTAATTTTTTATACTTCGAACCTCTCTTTGAAGATTCCTTCTTTGAAGATAATGTCAAAGATATTTTTTACTTTTTCTCCTCAATTTCCAGGCCCCTGACATTTATGAGATCACAGACCAAGAAAGTCCTACTAACGCCCCTTATGCACTCGGCGCGCCCTTTCCGGGTCTCCAACCATGACAGAAGCAGCCGGCGAGGGGTGATGGCCAACAGTCTGAAGGAGCTTCTCAGCAAGGTGCCAGGGACCCTGGGGCCTCCCCGTCCCTCACAGGAGGGCCCCTGACCGCATGCAGGGCAATGGGCTGGGAGACTAACCCAGGGCAGAGACAGAAATGTCGCTGTCATGGCCTCGGAGAGTCTGAGGGGAGAAGAAAAGAATGAAAGGGATCATTATTGCAATTCTGTACCATAAAGGATTTAGCTACAGACACGAAAGCCTTAAAAACAGTCATCAATTGATAATACAGCCTTTCTTCTTTGACAAGGGAGAAAACAGGGAAGCAGCAGGCTTTGGAAATCTGTTTTTGGTTATAAAGCCCAGGGAAAAATAGTCCTTAATCTAAAACATTGTCCTAGATCACCAAATAAGGAAGAATCACAGACTCTCTGGAGTGTGTAGAGTTGGGTTAGGAGGCATAACCCAGACAAAGACACCTATGAAAAGAACAGATGAGCAACCAACATGCAGACTCTGAAGGAGGAGACGGTTAGATATGTGACCTGAGACTGAGGCTCTTTAAATATCATTCTGTTGCATTATTCATTTGATTTGTCAAAATAAGTGAGTAATTTTAGAAACTGTAAATATGATTCAGTGTCTTCATTTATCTCATGTCCTTGAAATCTCTGAAGAAGATTGATCCATTAAAAATCTTAATTTTTCTTTTTCCAACCCAAGACTGAATCAGAGACGCCAATTAAGGTACATCTTTACCATTAAAATTTTAGCAAAATCAGACGACTTCTGAAACGATAACTTAGTCAATGGCCTTGAGTGGTCAAAATGGAATCTCTTCCTTTATTCCATGTCTCTGATGTGTCTTCAATCTAGACCCTGGATGCCTTAGTTATCACCAGTGGACTGGTCACTTTGGTGCTGGAGGAAGATGGAACTGTGGTGGATACGGAAGAGTTCTTTCAGAGCTTAGGAGACAACACACATTTCATGATCTTGGAGAAAGGGCAGAGGTGGACACCGGTAAGCAAAAACAGTTATCCAAACAGCTACTGGGTAGGTTTTTTTTTACCCACAAAAGTGCATTCTCTACTTTGGTGTTGGCTTGTCCTCTTTCTGAATATGAAACTTGTACTCACCTAATACCTGCATCTGCTACCCTCAACAGGATTCTTAGAAGTATTTCTAGGGAACTTAGCACCTTAGTGAACCTGGGCTGTATGATTTAAAGCAAGCAGTTCTGGGAAACAGGTTAGGCCAGTAAGTAGCTGTGGATCCTTTTAAAGCATACAGATGTGTCCTGTCCACCATTCACTGTCTGTGTCCTCAGGAGGCCAGCAAGCTAACAGCACCAGTGAAATTAGGTATGGGTGTGTGTGTGTGAATGTACAGTGATTTAGAAAGGTAAATAGAGGGCCTAGCTGGCTCAGTCAGTAGAGCATGCAACTCTCAATCTCAGGGTCGTGAGTTCAAGCCCCCCAGTGGGCACAGAGCCTACTTTAAAAAACAAAAACCGAGTGCCAGGGTGGATCAGTTGGTTAAGCATCTGACTCTTGATCTTGCCTCAGGTCATCGTCTCCCAGTTCGTGGGATTGAACCCCACATTGGGCTCTGTGCTGCCAGTGTGGAGCCTGCTTAGGGTTCTCTCTCTCCCTCTCTGCTTACATGCTCGCTCTCTCTCTCTCTCTCAAAAATAAATAAATAAACATTAAAAATAAATAAAAATAAAAATAAACCAAAAATAAAGAAAAAAGGTAAAGAGATGGAATAAAGACTTCCATATCCAGGAAAACTACAGATTATATATATCTTGGAAAACCCTCCCACTATAAAATACCTAAAAAAGCAAAGTAAAATTTTAAAACCTATTTTATATGCCTAACTGACCTTCCAGAAAGGGAAATCTTTAGAGGCCAAAATCTTCATGGGAGCCAGAATCTAAAGAAGCAATGTCTTACCCATGAGCCCCTCACCCGTGGCCATCCACTGACCTCAGTGACTTAGGGCTGCAGTTTTGACAGGTGCTGGCAAGATAGGAGACAAAGTCTTGGGCTGACACAAGGTAAGGGGCCAGATTAGAGATGCCCACATAAAACAGAAAAATCTTAAAGGTCTCTCCCAAGAATCTGTGGCCACAAGCTGCCCTCATGACGTTTTAGGGACTGCTGATTCCAAAAACACCCAACCTAAGAGCTTTTAGTATCCAGAGCCCCAGGAAGAGAAGCATCAGTGGAAGGAGTTTGTTCATTGAGTTCTTGCTCCAGTGTTCCCTCCCTCTAGCCCCAGTGACTCAGGGTTGACCATGTCCCCACATAACCAGCAGGAAAAATAGGTTCAGAATGAATCAAATCACAAAACATAAGGACTTAAAGCAGTGTAAGTGAGAGTAAGCAGAAATAATAAAGTCAGGCCTCCAAAGACCTCAGACGTTGGAATCATTGGACATAGAGCATAAAATAAGTGTATTTAAAATATTCAAAGAGTAATCAAAAGTATCCAAAAGTGAGAAGGGACAAGAGATCATCAAAAGGACAAGGTAGACTTGAAAGAATCAAATAGAATTTCTGGGAGTGAAAAACATAACAATTAAACAGAGACAGGTAGCACTGAAAATAATCAGAAAAAACCTGGAAGATCTGTCTCAAGAAGGTTCCCATGATGTAACACAAGAAGATAAAGGTGGAAACACAAAGGAAGCTTGGAGACATGACTGAGAAGGTCTAATATGTGTTTGACATCCTTAGGGTATAATGGTTTTTTGTTGTTTTAAACAAGATCATGCAAACACCATTTTTTAGTTGTTATTGTTGTTTTCTTTTTAGTAAGCTCTGCACCCAACATGGGGTTTGAACTCAAGACCTTGAGATCAAGGGTCACATGCTGACTGAGCCAGCCAGACACCCCTGCATAAACCATTTTTTAAATGACAAATACAACTCCATTAACAATTTTTTTCATCAAAAGATACTATAAAGTATGTCAAATAATAAGCCACAAGTGAGCAGAAGGTGTTTTCAACATAACCCAACAAAAGATTAGTATTTGATAAAATTTGGGGAACTCACAGAAATCAATTATGAAAACAATGGGCACTCTATCGGAAAATGGGAAAAAACCAGGAACTGGTATCTTCAGAATGGACAATAAAACATAGTAAAAATTTTTTGACTTCACTGGTGATTAGGAATACATAAGTTAAAACCACAATAAGATACTCTCTTACACAATTAGATTTGGTGTCATTAGTCTTTTCCTTTTTTTTTTTTTTCCATTTTTTAAGATATAGAACAATGAACTCTCTTATACTCTCAACAACAGCTATTTAAAACAGTTTACCTTTTCCCATAAAACTGAAGCACCACCTATGACCTGACAAGCCCTCTCCTAGACATACACCCAGCACACAGACACCCAGCCATGTGCTTCAACATAAAAACATGTAAATAAATATACAGGTGTCTATTCATTGAACAGAAGGGTCATCAGCTGTGAAAATGCATGAAGTACAGCTACAGGCATTTATATGGATAAATCTCATCAACTCTGTTGGGTGAAAACATCACGGAATAACCCATTAAGCAAGGAATCTTCTAACTTTTTGACCTCAGGACCCCTTTACACTCTTAAAAATTAATGAGGAGCTCAAATAGCTTTTGTTTATGTGGATTTCAGTGGAGGCTATAGATATCCGTCAATCAATCAGAGGTTCTCAACCGGGGGTGATCTAACCCATTGGGAAGCATTTGGCAGTGTCTGACGACATTTCTGGTTGCTACAACTGGAATGAGAAGGGTGATGCTGGCATCTACTGGGTAGAGATCAGAGATACTATGAACTATTCCACGAGGCACAGGATGGCCCCTGTGACAGAGTTATGTGGCCCCGAATGCCAAAGTGCCAAGGTTAAGAAACTATAAGCTATAGGGGTGCCTCGGTGGCTCAGTCAGTTAAGTGTCCAACTTTGGCTCAGGTGTTGATCTCATGGTTCATGAGTTTGAGTCCTGCATTGGGCTCTGTGCTGACAGCTCAGAGTCTGGAGCCCGCTTCAGATTCTGTGTCTCCTTCTTTCTCTGCCCCTCCCCTACTCATGCTATCTCTCTCTCTTTCTCTCTCTCTCTCTCAAAAATAAGTAAACATTAAAAAAATTTTAAAGAAACTATAAGCTAGAAGTATAGATATTATTTATATTTGAACTTAAAACTGAAAAAATTTTAAATGCACATTTTAAATTAAAATTAATTTTTAAATTAAATTTATTTTAATTAAATGTAATGTTTAAAATTAAATTACTAAAAATAATAACCCAGTACTGATTAACTTAGATTGTATATTTTTATAAAATAACTATTTTCCAAACCAAAAATATTTAAGGAGTGACATCTTTTTACATTTTTGCAAATCTTTTTAATGCCTAGCCTAATAGTAGAAGATGGCTACAGTTTCATATGTTTCTGTATTCAATCTGTTGTAATACATTGTTTTGTGAAGAAAATATGACCTCCCACAGATATGTCATTGGAAAAGGGAGAGTATTTTAATGGTATTTTCGGATAATTGAAGATATTCTTCTTTGATATGACACCAAAATCCATTAAGTGGTAGTTTCCTAAAGGCTGCTGCAGTGTGGAATCTGAGGCATACCAGTAAAGTTTCCTGTTTCATTGGAATCATTGGTTTATCTTGTGCTTTGGCTGGATATTTTTCCCAGGGGTGATTTTATAACATCATGCATTGGTTCTTTAGAAAATGTTGATTTCATTGAGTTATGCAAGTTTCTCAGATGGATAGTAGAAAACGTCCTCCACTCATGAGAGAATGAGAACAAAAAAGGCAAATTGCACCTTGGTGTTTATTATGAAAATAGTTTTGACCTCTTCAACCCCCTGAAAAGGCCTCAGGATCCCAGGTGTCTCTAACGTACATTTTGAGATTCGCCACATTTAAGCACTTATAGATAACTCAGAAATGTACAAAATTAGCAATATGATGTTTGAGACTCATGTGTGCTAAAAATAAAACTAAGGGAATGATTCACAACTTAGATGGTCTCCTCTTGAGATGAGGTGGAGGTATATAGCTGGGGAGGGGCACGTGGGTGATAACAGGTTGGTAACGTTTTCTGTAGTGGTGAATATACCTGTCACTACCCATGATGCATATGTATCAGTATGTATACTAATCTCCATATCAAATATTTCACCATTTTTCCAACTGGAAGAAAGACTACAGACCAGTTATAAAAACCATAAAATTTAGGGCACCTGGGTGGCTCAGTTGGTTAAGTATCCGACTTCAGCTCAAGTCATGATCTTGTGGTTCGGGAGTTTGGGCCCCGCATCAGGCTCTGTGCTGACAGCTCAGAGCCTGGAGCCTGCTTCGGATTCTGTGTCTCCCCCTCTCTCTGCCCCTCCCCTGCTATTGCTCAGTCTCTTTCTGTCAATAATAACAAATAAATGTTAAAAAATTTTTTTTAAAAGCATAAAATTTAAAATACAGTATCTGTAAAGCAGGTGAGGAGGTCACACCATTAGATTAGAAGAAGAGCATGGGGTGAATTAGACATCTTTTATTTATTTTTAATTTTAGCTTTTTTTTGAGAGAGAGTGGGCAAGAGTGGGGGAAGGGCAGAAGGAAAAAGATTGAATATTAAGTAAGATCTGTGCTCAGTCATTGAGGAGCCTGATACAGTGCTCAGTCTCATGACTGTGAGATCTTGACCTGAGCCAAAATTAAGAGTCAGTTGCTCAACCAACCAAGCCACCCAGGTGCTCCTAGACAAATCTTTTAAAAGCCAATCTTGAGCTGGACTACTTCTTGTTTGAGAAAGATGTTGTGAGCACTATAACAGCCTCCCAAAGAGGTCCACCTCCGAATCCCTGGAGTCCATGGAGAGGCTACTTTACTTGGCAAATGGATGTAGCAGGTATGATTAAGTTAAGGGTCTTGAGCCAGGGAGAGTCGCAGATAACCCAGGGACCAGTGTCATCACAGGCTCTTCACAGAGGGACAGGAGGGTCAGAGTGAGGGCCAGAATCAGAGAAAGAGGAGGGGAGATGTGAGGAGCTGCGGAGCGAGGGCAGTTCCAGAAGCTGGAGAAGGTGAGGGGGCCATGTCTCCGCAGCAGCTTCCGGAAGGAACCATCCTTGGCAGCTGGTAGTGGACTGCCAACCTCCAGAGTGTAAGGGTCTAAGTCTCTGTTGTTTCAAACCACAAAGTTTGTGGAAATTTGTTAAAACAGCAACAGGAAACTGGCTCAGAAGGGAAGGGTAGTTTCTGTTTGTTTTTATAACAGACACTCAGTTAGTGGGCCCTCAGCGTGGGTGGGTGCCGGGAGACTGAGCCAGAGTGCAGGGCACTGAGCCGTGATGGGTGCAAATCATACCATGGGGAGGTGTGTTCAACGGGGCAGAAGGCCTTTCAGCAAGTTGGGGTCAGCGTCTTATTTGACATAGGCCTTTCAGCCATCTTCCCTCGAGTGGAAATGGGCACCTCAAAGCTGATTATAGATCCTACTCTCTTTGTAGGTGTTTCTTTTCATCAGTGGGTCCAATTGTATTTGACTCTGACGAGAACATCCAGCCAGGGGACCCCCCTGCATCTTCAGTCTGAGTGCCTCCGAGGCCTGTGAGGAAGCAGCAACCTGGAGCCCTTTAAGGATAACTCAGGGGGGCAATCATTTCTTCTTCTTGAGCCAGCGAGCTAGAGAAATCTAGGTCACCAGCAGATTAGCTTTGTGAGGGCCGGGCTTTGATTTAAGACCAGAGTTAAGGAAGACATTTAGGGGGAATAAGATAAAAACTTCCATATGTCAGAAAGGAGCACAGCAGTAAGAAAGAACAGTGGCAGGATTATAGGTAAAATTCCCCTTTTCATTCTGTAATCTTAATTTTTACTTTACTTTTTCATTTTTATTTTTTTATAAGAGGAAAAAATATGAGTGGGGGAGGGGCAAAGGGAGAGAGAATCTTAAGCAGGTTCCACACTTAGTGCAGAGCCTGATGCAGGAGCTTGATCCCACGGCCCCAGGATCATGACCTGAGCTGAAATCAAGAGTCAGATGCTCAAGCAACCGAGCCACCCAGGCGCCCCTATAATCTTAATTTTTTTCCCTATAATCTTAATTTTTAAAAATAGTGTTTCCTAACTGCTAGACAGCACCCCCTAAAGGGGCAGCAGAAACTCTTGTGCATTAAACATCAGGTTTTACTGTCAGTGTCTCCTGTCCTCTGTAGGAGGAGAGAAGAGTGGCTCCATCAAAAAGAGTTTGGGTACTTTTAGGGGGAATTTATGTTTTAACTTCACATATAGTTGGTAATTGGCATTGATGGATTTAACATGTATAGCCTCAACTACCCCCAACCCCAAAGGTTCCAGAGACATAGTAACTGTGCTGGTTGTGTAAATTGGAATCCTGAATCCTGCAAGATCCATGTGTGAAGGAGCCCATAGGGAGAGGCGCCCCGGGCTGACATTTGTTCTCTGGCATGACTTCGTTCTCTTCTTGCTCTCTGCAAAGCTTTCTGTGGGGAAGACGCTATAGCGCTCTTTATAAACCTGGCGATTGACAGAAGTCTCTGGCTCTCTCCTCTCACCTGAAGGGTCTACCGATGTTTCAGGAGGACCTGGAGTGGCAGTTGTAATTCATGTCCTGGGAGGTCGGTTTTCATCCAGGGTGGTGACTAGAAAACAGAGGAAGCCCTGGGAAGTTCTCACCTGCCCTTTGCTTTAGCCACTCAATTCTGAAGCTTTCTTCCTGGCAGCCTCTTGTAAAATGGAAATAGCGCTGCCTGTGCTACAGTCCTGAGACCGTCCGTGTCAACCAAGTAACCACGGGTGGCCCTAAGTGACCGGGGTGCGTGCATTCAGTACCTCATGTCTATAGCACAACCATCCACCGAACCCCTACAGTCCAGCCCCGGAGCCACGCTGCATTCATCCCGAGCCACTAACCCAAGAGTAGCTCAGGAAAGGACACTTCCTCTTGGGTTTGGACGTGGTAGCAGTATGAACATATTGATGGGCTGAAAACATTCCTCAAGTAATCAGCAGCTCAGTCATTAACAGATTTAAAGCCACCAGAGTCAAAACTACAAAAACCCAGAAGTGCAGAATGTGCATGTCTTAGACGGAGATGCTCCTTACGTCTCTCCCTCCCTTCCTGGTTCTAGGGTGGTAACCATGTCCCAGCCCGTCAGCAGCCGAAGAAATCAGGAATAGCAAGAGTCACCTTCGACTTGTACAAGCTGAATCCCAAGGATGTCATTGGCTGCCTCAATGTGAAGGCCACCATGTATGAGATGTATTCAGTGTCCTATGACATCCGGTGTACGGGAGTCAAGGCCCTGCTGAGGTAACAGACATCGGGGTCAGCTGCGTTCTAGAAACTGCACCTGGGCCATCTCCAGCCTGCTGCTTTGCACTGCCACGCCCAGCCCCACGGAGGCCCCAACCCACCCAGTAGCTGCTGGTGCTCACTAATTCACACTGCCATACAGTAGTTTTATTCTTACACCCAGACTTTTTTAAAAAATAGTTTATTGTCAAGTTGGTTTCCATAATACCCAGTGCTCATCCCCACAAGTGCCCTCCCCCATGCCCATCACCCACCTTCCTCTCCCCCCACCCCCATCAGCCCTCAGTTTGTTCTCAGCATTCAAGAGTCTCTCATGGTTTGCCTCCCTCCCTCTCCCCCACTATTTTTCCCCTTCTTCTCCCCCACGGTCCTCTGTTAAGTTCCTTCTAATCCTCCTATATGTGCAAACATATGGTATCTGTCTTTCTCTGCCTGGCTTATTTTGCTCAACATAACACCCTCAAGTTCCATCCGTGTTGCTACACATGGCCAGATTTCATTCTTTCTCATTGTCATGTAGTATTCCATTGTATAGATAAACCACATCTTCTTGATCCATTTGTCAGTTGATGGACACTTAGGCTCTTTCCATATTTTGGCTATTGTTGAGAGTGCTGCTGTGAACATTGGGGTACATGTGCCCCTATGCATCAGCACTCCTGTATCCCTTGATAAATTCCTAGGAGTGCTATTGCTGGGTCATAGGGGAGTTCTACTGTTAATTTTTTGAGGAACCTCCACACTGTTTTCCAGAGGGGCTGCACCAGTTTGCATTCCCACCAGCAGCGTGGGAGGGTGCCTGTTTCTCCACATCCTCGCCAGCATCTAGAGTCCTCTGATTTGCTCATTTTAGCCACTCTGACCGGTGTGAGGTGGTATCTCAGTGTGGTTTTGATTTGTATTTCCCTGATGAGGAGGGATGCTGACCCTCGTTTCATGTGTCTGTTGGCCATCTGGATGTCCTCTTTGGAGAAGTGTCTGTTCATGTCCTCTGCCCATTTCTTCACTGGATTGTTTGTTTTTCGGGTGTGGAGTTTGGTGAGTTCCTTATAGATTTTGGATACTAGCCCTTTATCTGATATGTCATTTGCAACTATCTTTTCCCATTCTGTCGGTTGCCTATTAGTTTTATGGATTGTTTCCTTTGCCGTGCAGAAGCTTTTAATCTTGATGAGGTCCCAGTAGTTCATTTTTGCTCTTGATTCCCTTGCCTTTGGGGATGTATCAAGTAAGAAGTTGCTGCGGTGGAGGTCAAGGAGGTTGTTTCCTGCTTTCTCCTCTAGGATTTTGATGGTTTCCTGTCTCACATTCAGGTCCTTTATCCATTTTGAGTTTATTTTTGTGTATGGTGTGAGAAAATGATCTAGTTTCATTCTTCTGCACGTTGCTGTCCAGTTCTCCCAGCACCATCTGTGAAAGAGGCTGTCTTTTTTTCCATTGGATATTCTTTCCTGCTTTGTCAAAGCTTAGTTCACTGTACATTTTTGGATCCAATTCTGAGTTCTCTATTCTATTCCATTGGTCTATGTGTCTGTTTTTATGCCAATACCATACTGTCATGATGATGACAGCTTTGTAGTAGAGGCTAAAGTCAATGGTGATGCCTCCCATTTTGGTTTTCTTCTTCAATATTACTTTGGCTATTCGGGGTCTTTTGTGGTTCCGTACACATTTTACGAGAGTTTGTTCTAGCTTTGAGAAGAATGCTGGTGCAATTTTGATTGAGATTGCATTGAATGTGTAGATTGCTTTGGGTAGTAATGACATTTTAACTATATTTATTTTTCCAATCCATGAGTGTGGAATGTTTTTCCATTTCTTTGTGTCTTCTTCAGTTTCCTTCATAAGTTTTCGATAGTTTTCATCATACAGATCTCATATCTTTGGTTGGGTTTATTCCTAGGTATTTTATGCTTTTTTGTGCAATTGTGAATGGGATCAGTTTCTTGAATTCTCTTTCTGTTGCTTCATTGTTGGTCTTACACCCAGACTTAAGTCAGAAAACAGAGAGTCTTGAGCCAAGATGTATATGTATTTTTTTCTTCAGAGACCATTAAATACTAAATGGAAACAAGAACTAAGTAATAAATAGGAGGAGAAACCAAATTGCTTTTAAAAACTAGGGCTGTGCATTTAAAAACCTTTATTTGAAGCAATGGCAGCCAAAATGGAGTCATGGCAATTCTGACCTGGTTTGTGCAGAGTAGCCGCCCAACCCTGGACCAATACTCTTTTGCATCTTCTGTATTACTGCTCACTCGAAGCCAGCAATGAGGTGGCGCGGGTGTGTGCCTTTTCCACATACGGCCAGGGCACCATCACCCCACAGGCTGGGGCTGGGCTGGCTGTGAGGCCTCACAGATCTGGGAGCCTGTAGAAGATAGATCCCCATTCCATACCCCGCACCTGTATGAACAAATTCTGTATGTTCACCAGGAAAACTCTGTGATTGTAACCAGGCTGGCCACCCTGCTCTCAAGGCCTGGCCTGAGAGGGACATCCACGGTCTCACCCAGCCTTGCCACTGAGCAACCAGCTGTGCGACCTTCAATAGGTTGCTTAATGTCTCTGAGACTTGGTTTCATCATCTTTTAAATGAGAAGGTTACTTCTAAGTTCTTTGATTGCATAGGCTCTAAACACATCTACTTCTGTTCTCTAATAAATTCGTATCAATCCCCTAAATAACCAATTCCTGTGGAGAGATGGATGGAGGGTAAGAGACTGACAGAAGGTCTAAAAAGGTCGCAGCTGCTGACACCAGGGCTCTCTGCACCGCCCCTCTGGGCAGGGGCCTGCTTGCTTCTTGGAGGGCTCTGCTCTGGCTCCTTCTCTCCACTGGCCCCATAACCACCACTCTGGTCATCCTTGGGCATAATTCAGGGAAGGGGATGCTTTGGAAGTGAGACTGGTCTCCTCTCATCGGGCCCCAGGCCCTGGGACGGAGTGAACTCAGGTAGTGGCTTCTCAGGGGCCTCCGTTTCCCTCTCAGAACCATTAATGGCCAACTCATAGACAACTGTCGCTGAGGCCATGTTGAAATCTTGACTCCCAGGGGAGCTTTCTCTTTTGGCTGACATGTGAGAAAATAGCTTGATTGACTGGTTTTCTAAAGTGAGACAGGAGAGTTCTAACAACTTGGGAAAGTATAATGAAGAAAGTAAACCTCACCCAAAATCCCACCTCAGCCAACTCTTTAAGAGGCATGTTTGGCCTTCTTATCACTAATTCTTACCATCTGAGATCTCATGGCACCACAAGCACCCACAGAAGTCCCCAAGGTCCCTACATCAACGGCATCACACCAGGGTCCTGTTGTGGGATCCCAGGGCAGGGGGCTCTCTGACCAGTGCAGCCGACCCTCAGGCCTTGTGACATGACAGACCTTTGAAACTGTAATGAAATCCTTTAATGCTGGACTTGGTAGAGAGTAAGAATTTGAGGCAAAGACACTTTTTTAGTCTGAAATAACAGAAATGCCAGCCTCAGCCCTAGGGCTTAGAGGCCACAGCAGGGCCGAGATGGCATGTCCTGGCCACCCAAAGCAAACTGGGTCACGGGATCAATCTCCTTCAGCTTCTCCTTTCACACCCGACTTTGCCTGATTTTAGTAACAAGCCCCACACACCCATGGTGGCCAGAGCAAGCAAGCTGCCCAAAGGGCAGGACCCACTGTGTGCTATCAAGAGCACAGTCAGCCTACTCAGGGCTTCCTAGTTCCTGAACAACACGCCACGTTTGGAAGCAGCTAGAGGGAAGGTGGTCCTCGGCCTCCCGAATCAGCATGTGCATTGTAGCAACCCTGGCGGGCTCCGGGGGTTCCCTCATTCCTATGTGAGCAGCACCTGCTCTGTGCAGATGTTTGGGGGTGGCAAAGGATCCCCACACTGTCTGCCCCTCGCTGGTCCAGAGCTCCAAGCCTGACCTGTGCCCTGTCCCCTTTGCCGCAGGAGCCTGCTGCGGTTCCTGTCCCACGCCGCCCAGGTGACCGGACAGTTGCTCATCTACACCGGCACATACGTGCTCCAAGTGCTGGGTGATACGGAAGAGCAGAGTCCTCGCTGGTCACACTCCAGACGGGGGGTCACAAGTGGATAAGGATGCATGCCCCCAGGGGACCCAGCCGGCTCTTGACCCAAACATTCGCTCTCAGATGATGAATTTTGAAGATGCTTCTGTTCTAAACCATACACACGTGCACAAGGCTGGTCATGTGTACCAGGGGGTGACACCCAGGGGAAGGTGAAGGCACACGAAATGGGGACTGCAGAGTGGAACGCCCTGAAGGGAGGAGATTCGTAGGGGCTCCCGTGGTGACCAGGAAGGACCAAAGGGCAGGCTTGTGTGGTGGCTCCGGAGCCACAGGAACCTGTGTCAGGCCTCTCAGCAACTCACCTCCTGCAATAAACCAATCAATCGCAAGAGCTACTTGTAATATGGGTAACGCTTCCTTGTGTCTTTTCCACGGCCCCAATAAACAGCCCTCAATAAACAGGATAAGCAGAAGCCAGCCAGGCGTGCCCTGCTGGCAGATCATTTTTAAGTCTCTGTTGGTACTCAGTGCCGCTAAGCTAACAAGCTGTCAAATGTTACTGCGGGGGGCAGGGGAGGGAGTTCTAATGTGGGTCCTGAATGAGCCCAGAAGCTTAAGAACCTGAAGGTCTGGAGGTCTTCAGCCAGTGCTTATAAGCCTTTTAAAGAAAGAAAAAGCAAAACAGCCCCCACAAAACTGCTTGAACACTGGACCTGATGCATGGCACTAGCGGACCATGCCTTCAGTTCCTAATGTCACCCAAGTTGTCAGTTGGGACCCACGGCTGTGAGTGGCAGGACGCTGACCCAGGCTGAGTGGCTCTAGCTGCAGGCGCTGTGGGGTGCAGTCCTCCAAGGAAAGTAGCCAGGGATCTGTCTTTTCATCTTTTTTTTTTTAATTTTTTTTTTTATGTTTTATTTATTTCTAGGAGAGAGAGAGAGAGACAGCGTGAGCAGGGGAGGGTCAGAGAGAGAGGGAGTCACAGACTGAAACAGGCTCCAGGCTCTGAGCTGGCAGTCAGCACAGAGCCCGACGCGGGGCTTGAACCCACGAACCGCGAGATCATGACCTAAGCGACAGTCGGACGCTTAACCGACTAAGCCACCCAGGCACCCCTTTTTTATTTTAATTTTTGAGAGAGAAAGAGAGCATGAGTGGGGGAGGGGCAGAGAGAGAGGGAGACACAGAATCTGAAGCAGGTTCCAGGCTCTGAGCTGTCAGCACAGAGCCCAACATGGGGCTGAAACCCACGAACTGCAAGATTATGACCTGAGCCGAAGTTGGATGCTTAACCAACTGAGCCCCCCAGGCGCCCCTGTCTTTCCGTCTCTCCCTCCTGCTTTCCTCTGGGTTGGCATCATCTCCAGGCCTGCCCACCCCCACACATGAAAGTGAGACGCCAGCCCCACAGCAGGAGGTCCCGGGGCTGTGTCCTGGGGTGAGGGTGTGACACACAGGGCCACACACAACCAGTCCTGCAGACAGGGAAGGATGTCCCTTCCCACACAGACGGGGTGAGGACACTGGCTCCCCAAAGAAAACGGGGGAGCTGTCACTAGAAGAAGGGAGAACATGATTTGTCTCCTAAGACTACGGACGACCAATGTAGTCCTACTCGAGATTTGTGATTTTCCTCTTAGGAAACGTTAGCATGGAGGCCTCTCTCTCCCGGCTGACAATTCAGGCACAGTGAAAAAACCCCAACCAAGAGGGCCCCACACCCTCCCTGCGGCTCCTGCCCACGGCCCAGGCCTTCGCGGGGGGAGGGACTCGGCCTTCCCTCCCTTCACCTGGCCCAGAGCCCCTGCCCAGTCCCGGGGGTCAGGTCTGCTCGGTCCTGGGCACTCACCGGTCCCGAGCTGCCCGCTGAGTGAGGCAGGAGTAAGGGAACCACAGAGCATTCGTCAGAACACAGCCTGTGCCTTTAGCATCGTGACAACAGAGCCATTTAGCCCCCGCTTTCCCTTGCCCTTTCTGGCTCCTTCCAGAACAGGCCGCCGCTGCTGTAGAGAGAGTTAAGCCTCAGATGCAGTGCCTGTGCGGCCGCAGAGAAGCGGCCTGGGCAGAACGTTTCCTATATAAGGAGGTCTCTGCCCAAAGCCCTGCCCTCGGCGGGGGGCTGGGGCTGGGGCTGCGCAGAGCGGCCCGGGAGGAAGGCGAGGGCCCCACAAACGGCTCACGTCTCAGCCTGCCCCGTCTTTCCAGCACCTTCCGAGGAGGAGCGCAGCGCGGGGCCTCCCGCTGACTGAGGGCTTGCGTCACTTCCCAAGGATCCCGCCGTCCTGGAAAGCCACTGCCTGGCTTCCAAAAAAGGAATTTTCACTGAAGTGCCTGATGCTGTTGACTCAGCTGGCGCCCTCGCCCGGCGCTGGTCCTCACCAGCGGACGCCCTGGCCCGTTTTGCAGGGAGTGGATTAACCAAAGGAAGGCGTGGAAGAGCCATCCCATCGCGAGAAGGGGGATTCCTTCAGAAGGACTACTTCGAGTTTGGGGGTTCTCTTCTTCTTACCCCGTGTGGCGCTTCACGGGGACGGCCCGGGGTGGAGCGGCCTCCCAGAGCTCTCGGGGGAGGCTCCCAGGGCCTCTGGGCTCCGATGGGCTCCGATGCGCAAGGCCCGTGGAGAAGGGAGGCAAAAGCCGATTCTGCAAACATCAAAGGCTTCCGAGGGCGGTGATGAGGCTTTTGATGGGCGCGAACCAGCAGAGTAAAAACCTGCCTCGTGTCTGGGCAGGGTCCCGACAGGTGCAGCTCCCTCTTGCCTCCGGTGTGAATTAGGCAACATGCATTCCAAACGGACACCTTCTCGCCCTGATCCCAGTGTCTCCACGGCCCGCGCCCAGTCCACTAGCTGGGAGAAAGGTGCGGTCCCGTGGTCGGCAGGAGTGGCCGGGCTGCTGGGCAGAGGAGCTGCTGCTGGCTTTGGGATGTCACCAAAAGCTAGGTCGGGAGCTAAATCTGTGCCAGTGGCCTGTGTCCCTTTCAAGGGCTCACGGTCTTTCCATGTGCCCTCAGTTTACTGACTTCTAGAAGCACAGTTCAGAAAACAGGAAGTCATCCCTATGAGCTCAGAGTTCATGACCTCCCATTTCTGTGTGCGCCCCAAAGTTTGTTCATGTGGCCCCTGTCTCAGTCACACAGGGCTCCACGTCCCCACCCATGCTGGCATCTCCACTGGGCAACCAGGTGAGCAGGGGACAGAGGACAGGCCTGGCACGGACTGAGCATTAGCGTGAAATATTCCCAAAGTCGTTACCTCACGGCCAGAGATGGCCTCCGCTTAGAATCATCCTGCTGTGAACAAACTTCCCTGTCACAAGATTCTTTGTCTATAAAATTAGGATCAAAACGAGGTGGGTCAGGGGCACTGGGTGGCTCAGTCTGTTGAGTGTCTGACTTTAGCTTGGATCATGATCTCACGGCTCTTGAGTTTGAACCCCGCATCCGGCTCTGTGCTGACAGCTCAGAGCCTGGAGCCTGCTTCGATTCTGTGTCTCCCTCTATATCTGCTCCTCCCCCACTCTGTCTTCTCTCCTTCAAAACTAAATAAACATTAAACAATTATTTAAAAAATAAAAATAAATTTTTTGTAAAACAAGATGGGCCAGGAAGTCAGTCCATAGTCCCATACAGGTCTTTCTTGGCACAGGTTTAAAAAATGTAGGGGGCTCCTGGGTGGCTCAGTCGGTTAGGTGTCCGACTTCAGCTCAGGTCACCATCTCGCGGTTCGTGGGTTTGAGCCCCGCGTGGGGCTCTGTGCTGACAGCTAGCTCAGAGGCTGGAGCCTGTTTAGATTCTGTGTCTCCCTCTCTCTCTGACCCTCCCCTGCTCATACTGTCTCTCGCTCTTAGAAATAAAAAAAAAAAAAAATTTAAAAATGTTAACAGAATGCCTTTGTTCAGCCTGGCACTTTCCAGTTCACCAAGTTTCTCCTCTTCTGCCTAGCCCTGGAGAAAGTATCTGTCGCCTGCTGGCCCCGGGACCCCAAGTCAGTGACCCTCTGTGGGCTTTGTCAGACAAGGATCTTAAAACTGGAATCCACTTCCTCCAAGGAACGTTCTCTTTCTCCTCACACAGCGTGGCACCTATAGGCGTTCCTTCCTATGCAGCGAAGGTGTGCACAGCTACTCCCCAGAGCTGCCGCCCTCACAGACAGAGCCACAGCCTGGCCCTGCGCCTGCCCCACCTGGGGACATGAGGTTGCTTTCCTTCAGAGCCCAGACCTGGGAGAATGTGGCCTTTCTCCAGGAAGCCATGCCCGTTGTGCTGGTGGCCCACGGACAGTGACCTGCCCCCGAGTCTGAGGGAGGCTATTCCCGCTCAGCGGGGTCTCCTGCCTCAGGCTCCCAACTCCTCTGTGATGAATAAATCATATATGAATAAAACAGGGCACAAGGGTGGGGGGAATCCCTCTCCTTTCTCTGCGAGGACTCCAGCTCCTCGCTACAACTATCTCAGTTCCTACGAGGGAGCTGGGTCCACCCTCACATGAACAATCTCAAACACTGGCTCATTCTGGGGGTCCTTATGTTTGTCACACCCCGAGAAAAGCACATCTCCAAGGGGGCTCCCTCCCCGGCCTTGGAGACCGGTCAGGTCGAAATGTGCCCAGCTGCACAACGGGCCCCAAACTCTTTAAGCAGGTTTAAATCCCAGGCCACAGATGGAGTGGACAAGAAGTGAACCTTTTTCCCCTCGGCGTTGTGGGGGTTGCAGACTGGGGAGATAAACCAGACACAAATTTCAAATAAGTGTGGATTCTTTCTTTTTCACTTCGTTCTCTCTCTCTCTCTCTCTCTCTCTCCCTCCCTTCCTTCCTTTCTTTCTGTTTATTTTTGAGAGAGAGAGAGCAGGGGAGGGCCAAAGAGAGAGGGAGAGAAAGAGAATCCCAAGCAGGCCCCCCACTGTCAGCACAAAGCCTGACGTGAGACTCAAACCCATGAACCATGACATCATGACCTGAGCCAAAATCAAAAAGTTGGACACTTAACTGACTGAGCCACGCAGGTGCCCCAGAAGTGTGGATTTTTATATCTGATTGTCAATTCACTACTTTTTACATCAAGCCTCTGTTCCACTGAGTGGTCCCCCCACCTCACACCCAAGGAGTGCCAGGCGCTCTAGGAGCCAATATGTCAAGCCACCATCCTGGATTGTGTCCCACCCAGGTCTCTCCCCAAAATGCCCACTGGCTACAGTCTTTGGAGCTCAGCCTGTGAAGGTCATACTGAATCTTCCCCGCACCCCCTCCACAGAGTCTTCACGCCTCCTCTGCTCAGAACCAGGTCCTCCCTGGCTTGGCCAGGACATGAGAAACCCCCACCCCGCCCCACCCATACAACAATTCTGTCGAGGCTCCTGGTCTGCGTGGACAACCGCAAGGTGTGCTAGCTTCCAGGCTCCA